AGCAGTTCATGTGTTCATCACAAATGTCTCCGAGAAACGTGTTTGTACCTGAATCTGATGCAGCTGTGGACACCATGCAGATGTTTTGGGATTTATTTTAGTTTTTTATTGCTTCAACAGTTTTATTTATATAAGATGTCCTATTTTTATATGTGGAAAACCTAAAAAGCAAAATGTTCGGTTTTATTGGCCACAGATCTTTGAAGGCAGCAATGTCTGACATGCACAGGTGGTGTAAAACAGCAGGATATTAGCCCCAAGTAGCTAACGCTGTTTTGGAGAAGCTCAGATTTGTATTTCATATTTAGCTGTACACGCGGCAGTCTGTCCGTCCCTCTGTCTGCAGCATCTGCACGCCACCATAACAGGAACAGCGATTGTGATCGCTGCAAATTTTTATTTCAAGGACAGATTTTCAGGTTTTATCACACTTGACTCACATCTGTCGGTAGCTACGTATAAAGCCTTGTCATTCTATACCTGTAGGCACGGAAGGTTTCCTGGCCAGGACAATACCTCCTCCCAGGGGGGCAGGAAGCAATGCCGCCTGAGACATTTGGCCTTTTTTTAAGACCAAAAGCTGCATAGCTGATAAGCGAGGCTGGCCCTGCTCAGAGCAGAAACTGTGTCATAGAAAGTGCAACACCTTGCTGCGGTTTGTCATAAACTCTAACATTACTCATCAGGAATGTTGGGCTTCAGTGAGGTCAGGGCCTATTGTGGCCCCTCCCTGAATACTTTTAACAAAAGTTCTCCTCTGATGTGTCCTTTCCATGTAAATCTGTGTTCTCCTACTAAACTTTATCAGACAGCAACAGTTGTGTTTATTTGCACGTCTGCTGGCACGATGGGGGATGGATACGTATTTACACACAACTAAATCTGGAAATGATGGGAACAGTTCCTCCTTCTAGGTGTAAATAATGTGTTTCTTTCAGAAATGATATATGATTAGTTATTACAGTGAAAACAATAAAAATAAACACTGTTTACAATGATTACTCTGCCCACTGCAAATGCACAGTTTTTATGAGAATGATGGAAAATTGTTATCCATCATCACAATGACCGGCTCACTGAGATGTGATTCTGCCTGTAAGTCAGATGATGGGTTTGAGCAATCAGTCCCTTTTTATTAATAACAACACATTTTAGTTTATTTTTGTGTTTATTTCGGAGCATTTTAAAACAGGGACGCAAAAGAAGTCGAGTAAAAACTAGAAGACATGGCTGCTTCACACAAGTACTGAATCTTGTCTTAAAGAGTATTCTGGTGGCCAGAAAGGCATGTACTGGTGAAACTGTGCTATAAACGCATGTTAATGGGCCGTCTGCCCATCGAAGGAACATTTGCTAAAAGCCGAGTTTCAGACACATGTGAGCATCCACTGCTCTTACTTTGTTGAGGCAGTTGGATGCCCTCTATAGGCAGCTCACTGTCAGTCAGTTTGGCATTTTTACAAAGCACATGCTGGTCAAAGGATTATTATGTTAAAAACTACAAGATTTACAAAATAATATTTTTCCTTCATGTGTTTCACCTCATTTATCCTTCATGAAAGGAATGTAAAGTTCATAACGCACCACTTCATAGATCCAGGCTGGCACCAGGTCAGTACAGCTGGCCAACATCCAGCTGCTGCAACAACAGCAGAAGAAACACCTCCTTCCCAGTCTGGATACACACAACAAGACGCTGGACACACAACCATTTTTCATTTTTCACCTTTTCACATGCTGTGACATGATTCCAGGTTCATGTCTGGATGTTTTATACACTCGATTTTTGATTCTTCACATCTGTTTTAAACTTGCTGATACAAGATGATAACTATGGACTGAGGATGAAGGAAACAGGATAGGTCACATGGATTCAGGGTTTCAGGGTAAAACAACATTTAGAAGATGAACTCGCTTTGTACAGTTTTAGAAATGATTTGTTACCAAGTTACCGAGGGCGCTCTCGGATCACGAGAAACACACTTTCACACTTTTCTGGATGATAAAGATGCCGTGCACGGGCTGCTAAGTGGCAAATAAACAAGAGAGCAAATGAATCATGTTGGATGCTGAGACATTTTAAGCTCTGAACTGCAGCTGTCACCCGGTGAAATCTAAAACGTGTTTCACTTAGTGTAATTCACTGCACACATGTAACCAAAAACCACAATAATGTCAGTGCAGCATAAACAGAAAATAAAGTCAAGCATAACTTACAAACTGCAACATGACTGGAAAGAAACACGTCAGCCTGCTTTTATTTAGTCTGATAAAAGGACATTACAGAACCATGGACAGCGACAGACCTGCTGTGTGAACGCTTCACATGAACGTCTTCATTCAGAAGCCGGAGGTCCATCACATCTCAGCCCACGCAGGTGCAGCAGCTACCTGCAAGGCTCAGGTGTGATTTGTTCATTGAATAATTATAATGATAGACAAACGTCTCATCTTATTGCCTTACAGACATTTCTCTACAGTCGCAGCTTTAAAGAAGGTTTGTAATATTTTCCATATTTTCAAAAAAATAAAAAATGAATAAAAAAGGTCCAAAATCCATTGTAGTGGCGGCACTCCGTCTCTATTTCACTCTTCTGCACCACCTTTAGGAGTCAATCCGGCAACATGCATTTGAAACGCGAGCAAGTCCAGGTACTTTTCTTGCAAAAAGATGTTTATTGAAACTTTTCATTTACATGGCAAGACTCGGTCAAAAAACTGTGTTGCTTCCAGCTTATCTGACTCCCCAACTACGTAATTACAGTGTGCCGGAAGCCCAAAATACTAAAAAGCGCATTAGAATGTCACACTTCTATATTCTATGCATTTAACAAAACAGTATTTTGAAATTAATTAGAAATTATATTCTTAACATCAAACATGTATATTTCTCCTCTAATCATTTTACCAGTACCAATAAAATTAACCTTTAATTGGCTCTTACATCCATACTGATATTGTGGAATCCCACCTGTTGTCCTATAAGCCTGTCAGCCTATGAACTCATATGTCCTAAAGGACAGACACTCTTATGATTTTTTTGGAGGTCGGCACATGATCAGGAAGCTTTCCTACAGTTCTGCAGCTCATCAGTCAGCAGCCTACTCGTGCATCAGCTAATCAGCTGAAGGACTTTAGGACAAGTCCACCAGTGTCTCTGAAGGTAGCTTTGGTGGTCCAGCAGTCTAAAAGTTGACCTGTTTTCCTGAAGCACTGAAATAAGCCCATGACTGCTGATACTTGAGGATTCATCCCAGCAGTCCATCAGTTGTGTATGATGGTCTTCATGCTTTTCAACTAAGCTAAAGGTTTTATGGACTACTTGCTATTCTTGCATAACTTTGGGTCAGTGGAAAGTGAATTTTCTGCCAGGTTGGGGGGAAAGGGGAAGACCACACAGAAGGTTTATGTAGTGAAGGAAGACATGCAGAGGGTTGGTGTGACAGAGGAGGGTCCACAGGAATGAGGTGAGATGGAGGCAGATGATCCACTGTGGTGATCCCGGAAGGGAGCAGTAAAAAATGAAAAGAGAAAAACTGCGTTGGAGATCGATACCAACCGAGTGCCTGAGATCTGCAGTCATGGAGCGATTTTGCTGCACACAAAGAAACAAGGCTCAGAGATCAGAGGGCTCTGGGCTGAAAGATGTGGAAGATCTTCAAGTACTCCAACAGAGAACCATAGTGAGATCAATGGGACACAGCAGAGCGTGGAAATGTTAACTCTCTGCATCAATGTAACAAGAATCATCACACTCGTGAAATACTGAAACAAAAGAAGAGCAACGACTGAAAGAGTGTCAAAGATGTCAGATCAGAGAAACTGTGCCATGATGTCAGCTGGTGAGTTAAAAAAGGAAGTGAAACAAAATCGACTCTTTAAGGTTGAACTCAGCGAACAGCTGAATAAAATCCAGCCTCGAGACTTTTTAGGAAAACTGCAAACTTCTTGGAAGTATTTCCTGACCTTTCCTTATCCAAAAACACTCCCCACAGGCCGGTCCATCACAAGGCTGCTCACGTGAACAGTCCATCCAGTCCAGCTTCACTGACGTTTCCATTTAATCCTGAACACAGACGCTGTGGTGCGTGGATTAATAACGACCCACACAGGCGGTTCCAGTCAAATAAAGACTCGGTCAACAATGACAGCATACTTATCACACTACAGACTGTATTTATTCGTGCCATTGTTTTCTATAAGGGTCCGGGACATGGTTTCCCCAGTCTTAAGTTAGCGCGCTTTTTTCCACTCGGTTGAACTGGACCGGTGTTGTTTTCCTGTTATTGTTCATTTATAGAACTGTCTCCTGTGTGTTAACTTGGCGGTTTCCTATTTTACATCCTCCCATACATAAATTATGATATTCTGCTGCTGATAATGAAACTCTCGCACAAAGAGGTTTTTTGGTCATTATTGAGCTTTTATTGCTTTATTTTCCGAAGATTGTGCGCGGAGATAACGAGGCCATTATTGGCAGTGAATAAAGCTCTCGGTGCGGCTGCCTGTGAAGAAGTACTTTGTGGATTTTTTACCAAGTGTGGAGCAGTGATGTAATGTGTCTGCAGGTATAAATATAGAGGT